AATATATTCTAACATTGACATTAAGTTTGAAATTGTAAAACTATGTTTTACTATAGCAATAAAAAGTTAATTTAAGAAAACAATACGTGTGAATAAAACCTTTAAAATTGTTACTCTATTTATACAAGAAATGAGGTAAGTATAGTTAATATTTCAAATACTAAATATTAGTTAGATAATTTGTCATACTACTTTTCAAACCTATTCTTCTACCATAAAGATCTCACTTATTTTTCCTTGTACAAAGATAGATAGAGTTGCATTACAAATCATAATACAAATATAATGCACATACAAAAGATTTTCATACTATCACATAATAATACAAGTTAAATATCTTTGAAAGTGATAGTATTAATGACAATTAAAGTACAATCAACACAATGAAAGGTAGATATAGATAGAAAAATTAAAAAGTTAACAAGGAGCTAAATATATAATATTTTAAAGCAATATAAGGATTTAAGTTCAAAGTGATGTATCTCATCCTTAACTCTTCGAGCAAATGCATATTTCTAGTAGAAAACAATAAAATGGTTCATCTAAGCTACTAAAATAAAAATTAACATTTAAATATTATGCAAAACAAAAATCAGCACATTAACTACATAGACTATTTATTCATAATACACATATAAAAAGATTTGTATAACAAATAACCTGGCAAATCATAATATGAATTAAAGAAAACCTTAACTGAAATTTCAATGAATTAAATCTATTACACCTTATAGAACTCCAAACTCAATTGATTTATTCATCCATAATCCAATGCAAAAAAAAAAAACATATACTTATAGAAAACATAGTTACAACACATTACACAATATATCTCATATGTCAAATTTTTAATGAAACACAAACATAGAATAACTTATCCAAATTGCAATGCGTCTCTTGGTCTAAAGCTTTGGAACTCGATCATACATATGTTTTAGTCAATGAAGCTTTCTATTAATATATTTTATTGTTGACTACATCTCTCTCTTGCTTTTTAAGCGAGACAACTTAGTAGTAAACATATATAAGTCATTATCAAAGGTAATTCCATGTATATAATGAAGTTTTTTCATCACCTTGACAATGTGACATCATTTTTTTATCTTACTACTAGTAGTGCTACCACAATGGGCCAAAAGACAATTAACAAGTTTATCCAAATGTGAAAATAATTATTCTTCCATTCTAGATGCCTTTTATTTTTGGTTTACACACTGATATATAGATTGTTATCTAGCTTTTCTTTTGTCATTACTACATGTATTCTTATTATTAGTAACATTACATTCAATAACCATGTTACTCACAATATCTTCAAAATTAGAAATGGAATCCTTATCAAAATCACCATTTCGTTATAAATTAGCATCATGATCAACATTGATATTTCTCAAGCTAACATCCAAACTGTCATCACCATACAACATTCCTAATGAGAGAATCCAAACATACTATCTAGTAGCAATTAAGTTGCTGAATATTATATCAAATTCTTCATATAAACTTGGCTCAATTCTAGTATGCCTAAACTTTTTTGGCTTCTATGTATTCTTATATATAAAATATTTAATATAATTAATGAAACTTAATCAATTTATGTATTACAAAAATTAGACCAATAAAAGTGAAAAGATAAAGTTCTTAAAAAATAACCTGGATTTTAGCCTTTCAACACCCACCATTAGCTAAAATAATTTTCCATTCACTACTCCAACCAACACCATTTTCAAAAATTAACGTTTTTCATGTCCTCCAATTCTTTTTGTAACCATCATATTTGTTCTTAAGTTGTGCCTTGGTGAAAGTATAATCAGTCTATTTTTAGAAGACAATCATAAAAAATTTCAACCAATTTTATCAAAATGAACTTTAATACAAAAATCACAAAAAGTATGTAACATTTTCTTAATCCAGTAAGCTTTATCTTGAATTTCAAACCTTTCAAGGCAAAGACTATTTAAAAAGATGTTAGACATGCTTTGGGCCTGGAAAGACAGGTTGTGTCTAACCAAAAATAAAAAGATAAGGAGCATGTGATCTTGGAAAGCCAAGGCCACATGTCTAGATTTCTTTTCTTTTTTTTCCCCCCCTTAAATTGGTAGAGGATATGTTGTCCACTCTAAATTTTTTATGGATCGAATGACAAGTTGTCCGTTTATGTAGACAATATGTCATCTTCTAGTCCATATTACATCCAGCTTTGGAGGTTGAAAAGTTAATATATAAGTTTTTGGACTCTAAAAATCTTTTCTTTTTTCATCTTACCTGAAAAATATCTAAAAAATATCTTAGGGATCTCATTAAACTCATTTTTAACCCCAAAACTATTACAACCTAAATCTCAGGTCTATAATCGGCCATGCAAGAATAGTGTCGTAAGGACACCACTACTACGCTAAGTCTCAGAACATACATATCATAAAAAATAAATTACACAATATTTTGTAATCTCACAAATATTCCTCAAAAATAATAAAATCATTCAAAATTCAAAATACTTATTGCATTAAAGATTATTACATTAAAGAAAATCTAATCTTTGAAATAAAAATATAAACTTGATGAAAACAATATAATAGTGGAGCATCTAAGACATCAAGTCAAAGATTAAAAGGAAAGCCTCGCAGAAAAGCAAGACATATTGACCAAAACTGAAGAAGTAGGGACACTCAACCAAGTCTTCTTATTAACAAAACTAATAACTTGAAATAATATTAAAATTAAAGGGTGAGTTCAACTTATTCAGTAAGGAAATAAGATTTAACATACATATTAGATATTAATAGTTTGCAAGTTGATATATCTTGATATAAATATATATATTAAGCATATTAATATAATGTAGTGGAGTACATGTCGAAGATTAGATGACACCAAAGGTGATCATTGTGGGAAGATCAATCGCCACAAGCTGATATCTCTTTCTCACCAACTAGGTATACAGAATATCATATGCACATAAAATAATTACTCTTCATTATTATAGAGTTATTGACAAGTATACGGATATCAAGGTATAATAAATACATGTATAATTATAAAACATTGTATATCATATCAAATAGAATTTAGTTCAATAAAATACGAATGCAAATTCAAGAATAGATTAGTACTTAAAAAATAAAATACGAGTGCAAATTCAAGAATAGATTAGTACTTAAAAAATAAAGCAACATATGTAAATATTCAAGAAATTAAGTAGTTTTACTCATCATATAATTAACATACATATTTATTTATATTACATGTATATTAAAGATTATCTCACTCACCTAGAAAATGAAAGCAAAAGATAAACAAATGCAGAACCAGAGACTATTGAAAATCATTAGAATGAACATTAACCGAACCTATAATGGATACAAAAAACACTAAAAAATAACTTAAAGTAAATCATAAGAGATTAAAAAATTTAAACATGAAGAACACAACATAAATATGAAGTCGAACTGATTCACCCGATCGATCTTGAACATAACCCAAACTGATCGAACCTAATAGACCCGATAAAAATCTATTATTGGGTCAATCTATCAACCAAAATGATAAGTCAATTAGTCATTATCACTAGCTAACCGATCGACCATTTTAGACCAACCGGTTGACTGTCAGCAATTATCGAACTGATTTAAAACAACTAGTCAACTGGTTTGACTGTTAGTAATCTGATTTAAAACAACTAGTAAGCTGGTAGCAACTAGTCAACTGGTTTGACTGTTAGTAACTAGCCAATCGATCAACTGGTTTAAAACAACTAATCAAGCAATAACAACTAGTTGGTTGGTCAACTGATTTAACTAATCGGTTGATCGATTGATCATGATTTCCAAAATCTCAATCTACCAATCTTCAAAACTGTAAATTACATAATAACACAATCTGTTCTGTAACAACCTATGATTCTAGTCATCTAATTAGTTTGTTTAAAGCCAACTAAGATCCTAAAACATCAATTCAATCTCCTAAATTATTCTATCATCAAAACAATATAAAAACCCTAAACACATCCTAAAACCTTCCATAATCAATACTTAATAAAAAATAACAAAAGAGGGAAATTAGTTGCTTTTTTTTTAAATTTTTTTGAACCAAAAACTTAAATTCAAAACTAAAATCTTTTGTAAACAAGGGAGGAAAGTTACAGCAGTGCGGTGAAAAGAGGAAAAGAGAAAACAATTCTCTTAAAAACTTTTTCTTTAAATACCTAAGTTGGTTAGATTGGGTTTGAGATGAACTTTTAAGTTTAAGTTGAACTAAGAATATGACTTATAAAAACACCCAAGCTCCAACTCATCTCTTAAAACAAATATATTGATACAAAGATATGTCTTTTTCATGATTGGAGTTTGCCGAACCAATCTCCTTTTTTATTTTTTTATTTTAAGTAACTTTCTCTTTTTGCTCTCAATATTTAGTAATCCAAACATGAAAAAAAAAAGCTTAGGACTAAAATGTAAAATCCATAAATTTTAGAGACCAAAATAAAGTTTTTCATGCATTTTCAAAATTGATCTTATTTGGTTTTGTTTTTATTTTCTTAACTTGTTTTTTCATGAAAAAATAAAATTTTATTTTACAAAATCAATATCCAATTCAGCGTAGAAATATTTTTCGACCCTCGCATTATTAATGGCGACTGATTGTGGAAGAACATGATTATTCATGCTCCATTCAATTCAAACATTTTGGTCTTTGTTTAATCATATACCATCCAACCATTGCGATTGAAACAATAATTGCTAGGGGTTCCATACATCAACTCGCACTCTACAGACTAGCTAGCTAGTCACGAATTATTACTGTTTACATACGCAAATTTCCCTGATTAGGCAACTCACGCATCCCACTCGATGAAGGTGGTACCATTGTGAAAATGATGGGAATCTTCTTCAAAATCAATATCATCCCACTCGATGCTACCACCATTCACATTCGCACACAAACCTACATATGATATACTGTATATAATTATGACATTAATGATATTTGAGAAAACGAAGTCTTTTGAATCTGCAACTTTCTTCCATTACTAGCAAAACAAAACAAAGTAAAAGGCGATAGAAAAACCAGAAAAAAAAAACTAGGAAGGAGTACAACACTCATTAATTCTAGCTTGCTGACTTAATTGTACTAGGAAGGAGTACAACACATTAATTCTAGCTTGCTGACTTAATTGTATGCGCAGTGGATCCACGTAAATTAGAAGAGCTTCAAAACTTGCCCATGTGCATACAAAATATACGCCTGCATCAAAACCCACATTTATATAGACCTGGATTATATTTATATATAATTAAGCGAGTGTTTTTTTCGAAGGACCGCAAGTAATTAACTCTACAAGGCGGCAACGGTCTCGCCTTTAGCGGAAACTTCTGTTGCGGTGGTGGAGGATACAGCCTCTTTCTTGGGTGCTAATGAGCATTTCTTTTTTCTCTCATCTAAGCTCATTTGTTGTTGCCTGCATTCTTGACTGCAAAAAGCACTATCGCCCCTACAAGATGCCAAATTAACTTGGTTAAAAACAAAGTTGATGCTATATGACTATTACACAGAATGGATTCATAGTAATTAATTAGAAAATAAAAAATCTAAGGAAGAGTCGTTTTTTTTCCCTCTGACAAACTAAGGTTGGATCCCTCAAGAAAAATTATTTCATGGCATGTGTTGGATTAATTTGAGTCGTAATTTCTTACAACAAAAAAAAGAAGAATTCTCATAAATAAACCAAGCTTTTTACCATGTATGTTAATGAAATAAGGTTAATTCTCTTATCTCTTTTCTTGTGTACTATAACCGAAAATCCCAAGAAACCAGCAAAAATATCTCCAGAGATAAATGAAGGGTTTGGAAGTGATAAACACCAACAATCAACAAGAACTCTATAAAACGATAGAGTAATTTGATTGTTGGTATAAGATTGTCAAAAAAATAAAAATAAATAAATAGCAGTATAGTCTACACAGCTTAACATAAGTTGGGGAAATTACTTGTACATATAGATGTCACGGCCAGGGATCAACCGGCGCTTGCAAAGAGAGCAAGCCCTCAAGAAGTGAGCGGTCTCCAAGAAATCAGCAGAAGCCCTTCTATGGCTGGTTCTTGGTGATCCAGTGGCAGCCGAGGACCGTTGATCTATCATTCCACCATATCCCACCTGTTTTTGAGCATGATCTGACGGTGGGGCTGCTTCAGTACTAGCAGTGTTTAGATCAAATTTGATCTCTGTCAAGCTTGTCGTCCTTTTCATTGGATTACGAGGTCTCTTTCCCAGCAACATCTTTGTAATACTCTAAGCACTTCTTTAAAAACTGCAAGATATCATGCTTTTGGGTTTCCTCTCGCTGAGGGAGATATAGATGGGAAGAGTGAGAGAGAGAGAGAGAGAGAGAGAGGAGACAAGAAGGGGGAGTGAGGATTGGGGAAATAAAAGAAGAGCCAGAAATCGAGGAGCGAATCTGGGCCGTTCAATGAATTTCCTGTTTTGTTACCATGGCAAATCCACGTCGTTGGCCCCTTCACTCACGGTGTTTCTTTCTTGTTTTCTTAACTTCGGATACTCTTTTATTGTCCAATCACAGCAGTTAAAAATCCATGAAAGTTTATGTGTCCGCTCAAATGTTACCACGTAATAGACCCCCTCTCCCCCTTCTGCTGGCTAAACATCGCTGGAAGTCCCTCAACTATATGAATCAGGTCAAATTAACCCGTGTAATAAATTTGATCAAATCAACTCTCATACCTCTAATTTTAAACTACTTAAATCCTTCTGATTTATTTACTTTTTTAAGCTTGAAAAAATATGTTGGTAGATTAGAGGGATAACAATTTAATCCAAATCCAATAAATATATGAACGGAAGAGATTTAAATGGGTGGATATATATAGTTTTACTTTATTTGATAGATTATTGATACGGCATAGAAAATATCAAACCTAACTAAATCTAATAATTAATCCTTTTTACTAGAAACAAAGATGAAATGCTTAATAAAAATTCCCAAAAGAAATAAAGTAATTTTTCTTTTTCTTTTTTCACCTTGATAAACTCTTAATAGTTCCTCGAAGTATTCATAGGTAAACACTGATGAAAATATTCTCATAATATATATCAAGAAAATTGTAGTGAAAAAAAAAGTAATTAGAAAAATCTAAAAGGTACAATGATATATTATTTATATTGATATAATTATTGATGAAATAAACCCGTTAGTGAAATCTATTTATAAATTCATTAGTAATATTTAATTTATGAATTGTTGAGCTATCCCCATCTCCCCTCCTTTTATTTATTCTTCTTCCTCCACTAGCTCTGCAACAAACAACGAAACCCCCTTCATTGTATTATAAATCAACCTCCCACCACAAACTTAACCACCCCAATATTCATTCTTTGAGCATTCATCTCATGATTTATTTTTGTTTTTTAGATTTTTCATATCACGTAAACAAAACTACTTGTTTTTTTGTTTGAACTCAATTTTAAAATGTTATTTTTATTGCATATTTCTGCAGTGTATGTAGTTTGTTTATGTATTTACTTATTTTTATAGCTTTTTCCTCTAAAAATTTATTTTACGAATGTAATATTACATGTTAGGGTTTGTTTGAGATTTAAAAATAAATAAATTTATTTGTAATTTGTAGAAATTGATTTCAAATTTGTAACTTACATATTTTGTAATGAAATAAATAATGGCTTATTTAATAACTCCATTTTATATCTTATCAATTTTATTGTTGAGTTGAAAATTTCATTTCATGTATAGAAATTTGAATTTATGAAGATAAATAATAATGCTTTAAAAGTACTATTAAAATAGATTAAATAAGTTTGGTTTCAACCAATGCTAACTAATTTATTTAGTTTACATAATTAATTAATACTTGTTCTCATGATCAATATTCTATATAGGTCTGATATAAGCAATGGATGATCATTTATAGATGTATCAAAATTCACCTAAAGAGTTGTGTATGATGAATTATCATAATGGAGTTAAGAATTTTATTAATTACGCACTATCTAATCCAAAAAATATTAGTGGAGATGCTATTAGATGTCCATGAAAGAGGTGTAAAAATAAAAAGTTTCTTGATCCAGATGTTGTAACGATGCATCTTCTATAAAAAGGATTCTTAGAGAAATATTTGTGTTGGTTTGCATACAGAGAACCATATGTTCCTTATAAGCTCATGGTAGAAAGGATGATTGGATTAATTTCTAGTTTTAGCAACGTATTGGAATATGATTATGGATGCGATGAGAATGAATTAGGGTTATTAAGATAAATATCTAATCATTGATGAAGAACCAAATACAGATGTAACTAGGTTTTTTAATTTTCTAAAAGACTTTGAGAAAGCATTAAAGGATGGGTGCACAAATCACAATAAATTATCGATTATTGCACAAGTTTTCAC